GTGTGTGAGTGTGGTGCAGGTGTGTGTGTGTGTGTGTTAGGGTGTGTGAGTATGGTGCAGGTGCCTGTGTGTGTGTGAGTATGGTGCAGGTGTGTGCGTGTGTGTTAGGGTGTGTGAGTATGGTGCAGGTGTGTGCATGTGTGTTAGGGTGTGTGTATGTAAAGCATAAGTAAAGAAACCAGAAGATGTCAAGCATCTTATTCTATCACTCTCTGCCTTATTCTCTTGAGACAGGGTCTCTCACAGACTCTGGGGCTAAATTCTCCTGTCTCCTCCCACCCCCAAAGCACTGGCATTACAGGAGCAGACAACCAGGCCTGATTTTTTTTTTTGTGGGGGGTGGTTCTGTGGATTGGAACTCAGCAAACACTCTTATCCACTAAGTCAACGCCCGAGCTGACCTTGGACTTAATTTTTAAAAGTGTTAGCAATAAATTTGTTATTTATTGCCCAGCCTAAAGGACTTTGTTATAGTAACCTTAATAACACATACAAAACATCACATACAAAAAACTAACTCAAAATGAACCAAAGATATAAACACATAAGAGCTAAAGTTAACTCTTTAAAGAGAACATACCTGCAAATCTTAATCATGGTATTTTACCATGACACCAAAAGCCCAAGCAAAGAAAAAGATTAGATACTATCAACATGAAGAACATTTGGGCTGGTGAGATGGCTCGGTGGTAAAGGCAGCTGGGGCCAAGCCTGAAGACCCGAGCATGACCCCTGGGACCCATACAGTGGAAGGAGAGATGTGAGTCTCCAGAGTTTCTTCTGGATAATTCACGGAATGAGAAGGAAAACATTCATGAATTATCATCTGCGAGGTCTAGGATCCAGAACAGTTATTTTAACACTTAAAGCTCAACAATAAAAAGACAAGTAGCCCAAATGAAAAATGGGTCAAGCATAGGACTACAATTTTCCCATAAAGTGGGAGTGAGGGCAAAGGCCTGTCTTCACAGGATTCAGGAGGTGGATACTGCAGAATCAGGAGTTCAGTTCAGCTTCAGTTAAGTAGTGGCTTTGAAGCCAGCCTAGGCTACACAATACCTGATAACCAACAAAAGACAAGATATGCAATTTCCTTTTAAAAACGTCTTATTATGTTTATTGTGTGTGTGTGTTATGGGGTGGCTGCTTATATGACAAAGCATGTGTGGTGGCCAGAGGACAGCTTGCAGAAGTATCTCTCCCTCTATCATGTAAGCCCCAGGGATTGAACTCAGGTTGTCAAGCCTGGTAGCAAGTGCCTTTACCTACCAAGCCATGTGTTGGCCAAGATATATAGTTTAATAAACATATGAAATAATGCTAAACATCATAACTCATTAAGGAAATGACAATCGAAATCTCAGGGGATATTACATCATCATAATAAAAGCAACTGGGAATAAGTGCTAGCCAGGATGTGGACAAGCACCCTCACACTTTGTTGATAGGAGCCTCTAATGGTGCAGCCACTTTGCAGACTAATCCAGTAGTTCTCCAAAAACAAACAAGCAAAAAAAAAAAAAAACACCGAAAAAAACCAAAAAAAACACAAAAAACCAAACAGGCTGGGCACGGCCATGCAGGCCTTTAATCCCAGCATTTGGGAAGCAGAGGCAGATGGATATTTGTGAGTTCAAGGCTAGCCTGGTCTACATACTGAGTCCCAGACCAGGCTGGGCTGCATAGTGAGATCCTGTCTCTAAAATTTTAAAAGATGTGCACTGGCCAGGAAAATGACTTGGTAACTAAAGGCACTTGTTTCTCAAGCCCAGAGACCAGAGTTTGATCTCCACAACCCAAATAAGGTAGAAGGTAAGAAATGACTCCACAGAGTTGTCCTTTGACCTTCACGTGTGCACTGTGGACATACATCTCTCTCTCTCTCTCTCTCTCTCTCTCTCTCTCTCTCTCTCTCTCTCTC